GCTCGTCCGTACAACCGCGCGCCTCCACTATCCTTGGTGTCAGGAAACGCGTCCCATTTGTCAGAGAATGTCAGAGTTCGTTATAGCTATTGACCATTCATAGCACGCCGCGTGTCCTTCCTTTCATGTGCTGGAGATTCCCTTGTGGGCTCCGATATTCGACCAATTCTATACGACCACGCCCTATCCGACCATCCTCCCTCGACCAACTCCTCGAGTAACTCGCATCTGTCGACCACTTCTGATCTCATTAGTCTCTGCTGTCTGCTCTCTGTCCTCCATTGCAGGTATCTGGTCCTGCTCGACCATATCATTCGACCCGTTCTTATTTAGGTAATTCGACGAACCGGCCTATTTTCTCCGGTTAGCCCAGCGAACCGGTCTAGTATACAATATCCCATATCATCTAGTCCCCCCACTCTGGTCGAGTCTGAACGACTCGATCTAAGAGTAGGCTTCGGTCTATGTCGAGGAGGTTCTGCTTCTTTGTTTTCGACCACCTGACCCATTTTCTTCTTTTGCATGCTTATTTTCTTTTCTAACCGCCACTTTGCGCTTTTTGAATTTCAAATTTCGCCACTTGTCTGCCCTTTTGGGATGCGTCTTTTCGTCTGCTCAGAAATAATGATAACCTCGTGGCCCGCGTTGTCTCGAGCCTCGCACCTACTTATGCTCCCCTTCTCTTCCTGCCGTTGGATTTCCTGCTTTAATCCTACGGTTCGAGGTAATTGTCCGTTCGCCTGCTCTTTGATCGCAGCCCTTCATTACTTACGATCCTACGGTCGGCAATTCCTCCCATTCACTCTTTGACCTTATAAATATCCATACTTGGGAGAATTTTTCCATTTTTCTCACTGTCGCATTCCATCGTACTAGAGCTTTCTGCAATCGTCGAGCACCCTGCAACCTTGAATCCTCCATCTTCTCTACAGATTCTCCGCCGTTACCTTTTAATTTGTGTTTATTAGCTTTAATTTTTGGGTTCTTCCTCTTTTCCTCGATCCTCTTCTCGATTCTGACCCCATCCGTTATTCGTCCTTCCCGCTGTGCTCTCTTGTGTTCTTCCCTGTCTTGTTTTTCGCTTTTGCTCTTTATTTTAGTTGATTATAATTTTCCTTTTCTTTTATCTCAGATTCCGCTACTTCGAGTGAAAATGATCGATTCAGCGGGAAGGACCTGACTCCCCCTTCTTCTTCTGCAACCCTTAGCCTATCCAGCGATTCTGTACAAGAAATCCTTCAGCCTGAGCCTATTTCCAGCCTTCCTCCTGCGACGACCAGTGACAGCCCTACGACCACTGCTCTCTCTCTCTCCACCTATCTCGTCGACCAGCCCGAAGATGTGGTCACCAGCCGCCCTCTTTCTCCTCCCACCGAGCGTGCTCGTTGAGCTATCGGTCAGGATGACGAGATCGAAGACGAGGATGATCCTCAGGACCATGTCCCACTATCTACCCGTGATCCCGCTGACTTTGTCCCTTTGTCCTCTTGTGCCCCAGACTCTTCGACCATACCTTCTCAGCCCAAGTCATCCAAGCGGTCCAAGTAATCTAAACCGTCTTCGAGCTCTTCCCGTCTCGACTTTGATGCAATTGGTCATCCTGGGACTGCTCGCACCCCTGGTGATGATGATACCTTC